TTTTCCAGTTTAACAGTGAATAACGAAAAGTATAGAACAGAAATTATTCTCTAAATAAGTTGATGCTATTTAATATAATACAATTTTAATTACACGAAGGTCCATTTCCTTTAGAGCTTATTATTCGGTAATTTTTGATTATTTTTATTGTTTAATTTCGCATATATTGTATGAATAGTTTTCAGTTCATGCACGTAGGAAAGAAAAACCCAAGAACGAACAGAAAAGAAAACAAAAATAGACGTATACTTTCTAAGACAAGGCAATCATAGACAGACATACAGTGGTTTATCAAAACATGCAATATAATGGTTGTGTTGTGTGGGTGCTAATCATTCATGCATATTATAACGTTGGTATGAAATAGTATATAGCATTAATTTGACTGCTGAAACGTAAAAAAATAACAACACACATTACGACTGTTAAAATTAATAACATGTTACCAGGGACACCAACACAGTTCCAATTGAGTTTTGACGCTGTAAACGATTTCCTTATAGCTGTCGCGTATTTTTCAATTCCATTGGAACTGCTCTATTTCTTAAAATACTATCCAACAAAAGTTCCGAGAAAGTATAAGTCATTAATTGTTATGTTTGCTCTATTTATTGTTCTTTGTGGGTACGTACGTTGTTTGTATTTCATATCAATCAGTTACTGTAACATCTGTTTTTATAGTTTTACTCATGTATTCAACGCTCTTCATGTTGGTATAGATTTAATGTTGTTTACCAAGTTTAGTACTGCAGTTATATCTTTAATAACTGCTGCTGCTTTGCTAATTCTCATTCCTGGTGTGCTAGACTTTCTTACGTATACAAAAACACTGGAGCAAGAAATTTTGTATGAACCAAGTGACACTGTAACTAGTCCAGACGTCAAAGCATATTTAAACAAGTTTGTGCTTGTCTATTACTCCTTAGCTACTTGTTCAACTTTGTATCGTACTTTTTCAGGAGGCGATCGGTATTGTCTCCAAGATGGCATATGGCATTAGATCATGCGACACAAGTAACTCGTAGACAACAAAAAACTTAACAATAATTCCAGTCCCGTTTATTCAAAGTAAACATTTTCTTTGCTGTGTAGTGTAGTTATTAAGCATTAATCAATCTTTTTCGTTTCACTTCAAACAATCACATGAAAGAAAAATGCACAGGTATAATTCAATCACACAACGCAAAACAATATATTTAACCGTTCGTGCACGTTGATAAACAATATAAAAACTAATAAGATAAACATTCCCTGCTTTTTTATGTTTATGAATAAAAGTTGGAAGGAAAACAATATCATTTATCGTTATGAAACTGCAGGGTACGACAATTTACTTAAATATTCAGGATTTATCTTCAAAATCAAAGTGAAACATCTAGAAAAATCATAAAGAATGTATTATTATAACAAATCACATGCGAAGCATTTCTTCTTTAGAGCAAACGTTCTTTGAAAAATAAATATCGGCTGGGTTGCGTATAAAAAGACTGGTAATGCGCTAAAAAGCACTTAGTTAAACACAAATGCTTCTCGCTATTATACAACAAAAATATTCTCTTAACTTTATCACACACAACTTCTGCGAGTGTGGTATGTGTTCTTAGTCTAAATTATTCTCTTCAAAATAAGATTCAAACATGAAGAACTAGCAATTAAGTCCCATTGGGCTGCCTGCATCGGATCAACTTTCACTTTACAGAAGATTTAAGAAAGGATCGAACACTGTTACTCTGTTTCGAATAGGCGTGTAACATGAAAAAGTTATCAATTTTCACAGTAAGAAGGGCTTAATAGATTTTGATAAATCTCAGTACTTAAAGAGTTTTGAGCGATGTTCTTTCCAATGACTCATTGGAAGTAATTTTAAAAGTATTAGAAGTAGAATTTCGAGAAAACCACTGTTTTCCACACATCCATCTACAGAAAATAATTTTTTTAAAGAAACGTTCGCCGCTAAAAATGTTTCAAATTAGTCGTTATATTCAGAATTGAATGGGCGATATTTACAAAAAAAGTTTAATTCTCGCTCGCTTATAATTTGAAATTTTTATTTAAAGGCTTGGAGTAGGCTTGGAGGATTGGTATCAGTTTTAGGCTTGGTACCAGTCTCCAATTAGGCCTGATACCAGTTGGACTGGTCGACCAGTTAATCGAATGTAGTAGGCAAACGTTTCACCGTACAACCTAAGATATAACCGTCATTACACCATGCGCTTAGAGTAATTTTTTTTCGTGCTTCTTTTTTACTTCAAAGAAGATCACCCTCTCAAAAGTTTGTTCTTATTTTTCCGTTGACGAGATTTATTTTAGTACACTAGCCGTAGAGTCACTTCTAGTTGGTGTTGTTAACCCGATGACTCATCATTTTGGAGTCTAATTTTGTGGTATCGCCATCTAGTACCAAGGACCCTGTCGGATTTCAAAAGTATGTCGAACGAGAAAGTTATATATCAGGTTTTGTAGAACTTCTCGCAGCGGATCTAAATCTGTATTGGGATTAGGTAAATACCTTCTGGTTGCCGAGATATGGGTGTTACCATGTTTTAGGTCTATAATCGGTATTGATGTAAGAGGAAAAATCGAGATTCGGTAATGTAATAGAATGAGATGTTATCTTGCCCATATTCTTGTAGAGCAATGAAAACTGTAGAAAGTAGTTCGATAATAGGTAATAGAGCCTAGTTCTTCTAGAAAAAATGGATCATTTATGAAAAAAAATCGATCATACACATAGTGCATGTGCGCAGTAAAATAGCTGTAAAATCCAAATGATATGCAGAAACAAATTGTAATTTTGTCCAAAATTGTATGAGTATGAGCTCTATCTGCTACATTCATGTAGAGGTCTGATATCCATCTGTGTCTATGGAAAAAGAAATCTTTACTGGAAAAAAGTATCCCAAAACAGGGCATGTTTTGGAGTTGAACTTGGTTTTTCCGGGTCTGATTTACTTATCGACCAGTTTTAACGCCATATTCGGAATCTACGAACAAAACTGAGTCGGATGGAGTATTATACATATAGTCAAAACACAAAAAAGCTTTTTGGGGACAAGAAACCCTAAGAAGGATCCGGACGGAGCCTGTCTCTCGAAAAACACATATTTACCGGCCAAACCACATGTAGTTTTATAGTGTTGAATTCTGAACGAAATGCACCCTTTAGATTCAGCTTATGTTACAAAGGGAAAGTATTTAGACTCATTATATATATATAGTATACAGGACGACATTGAACGTCGAAAGGTCATTGACCAGAAAATCTTGCCAGAAAGGGACACAAGTTTCAAGTTATACACGATTAGATAGCCCTTGAAATTCTCTACAAACCGAGCTGGTTAGAATATCTTGACTGGTGGGACCAGTCATCAAAGACATGCAAAAAACGCGTTGAACTACGGAAAACAGCTGCAGAATACTCTTTTAGAAGTCGCTTCTGTCTTAATGAAAAACTATATATTTTTCAAAAAAATACCATTGGATAGCCGTGAAATTCTCTACAAACTGAGCTGGTCAGAATATCTAGGCAGGTAGGATCAGTGATTAAAGATATGCAAAAGAAGCGTTTGGATGTTATATATGCAGTACAGTGTTTCATAATCATAAGAATTCCTTTGTTTTTGTATTCCGGAGTATTTTGGTAATTTTCACCCCGCTTGTAGGCGTTCGTAAATCGACTATAATTGGGTGAAAAGCGTTACGGACAGTCGGGAGATATCTTGGTTTGTTTAAAATTTTTTACTCTATCAAGCTATGTGGTTTGCAAAATTTTCTGACCAAAAACCAAAGACTTGGTTTTCTAGCCTTCAGGTTTTCCAGAAACCCTATTATCAAGTTTTCTCATAAAATGGCGATATGTACCTCATCTGATAGAAAAATGGGCTATTCAAAACAGTATTCAGATTGGTTCCAGCTTTTACTGAAAAATCAAAACAAAGGAATTCTTATGATTATGAAACACTGTACTGCATATATAACATCCAAACGCTTCTTTTGCATATCTTTAATCACTGATCCTACCTGCCTAGATATTCTGACCAGCTCAGTTTGTAGAGAATTTCACGGCTATCCAATGGTATTTTTTTGAAAAATATATAGTTTTTCATTAAGACAGAAGCGACTTCTAAAAGAGTATTCTGCAGCTGTTTTCCGTAGTTCAACGCGTTTTTTGCATGTCTTTGATGACTGGTCCCACCAGTCAAGATATTCTAACCAGCTCAGTTTGTAGAGAATTTCAAGGGCTATCTAATCGTGTATAACTTGAAACTTGTCCTCCTTAGGGTTTCTTGTCCCCAAAAAGCTTTTCTGTGTTTTGACCATATGTATATGGGCGCGTTCTAAGACAATTAAAAAATATATACGATCGGGATGAGATAAAAAGTGAGGTTGTATGCCGGGCAAAACGCTTTCGACGGTAGTTTTGTTCAGTGGTCGGCTAGAAAAGGTGCGGCGGTTATGCGTTTGCTTCTAGTATAGGGGCTTTCCAAGTTTACATAAGTGTTATGAGTGTATACATGAACATCACAACAAGGATTAGAAGAAATAGTCAGACCTAATAAACACAGACTCTCTGCTCTATATATGAAAGCATCCATTAAATATGAAAAAATAACAACACTCACCCGGCCAAACATTTTTAAATTTTTCCATTATTGTTAATTTTTCTTTTATTATTAAAAACGTGTTTCAATTAAACTGTACGTAAAAAACGTTTTCTTAAAAGAAGGCGAATATCCAGGACAAGAGCACGCACTAATATATCCTTACCGTTGCTCTTAAATAGCTGCATATCCCAACCTAAAAGCCCCGTTGTTCCACATGTTCCCCGCTTCGAAATGTCCACAAGTCGTACATCGTCTATTTTTAGTAGTACAGACGACTGGAAGGTATTTTTATCTAGCATGAGTTGATTTAATGATTTGTTCACTTCCAGCATTGCTGATAGAATCATTGCCAATTCGTCTGATACCAGTTGGCAAGCATAACCATATAAAGAGATTTCAGCTAATGTTGTATTGCTTTTTAAAGCTTCGAACAATTTTCGTAAGAAAACATCGGAACATTTCAAGATTTTTCAATGTTTTATTGGATAACAACATATTGAATAATAATGGGGCACAGTCATTCAATAAAGTAAAATTTCCATTTATTTTTGAATGCATTATCTCCAACTTAAGTTCAAGTAAAGCTGTATTGTTTTCCAATCCTTCAAACAGTTTTTGTAAGAAAATATTGGAAGGAAGGCAGCTCATTTTGAGATTTTTCAATGTTTTATTGGTTAACAACATATTGTATGATGATGGGGCACAGTTACGGAGCCTACCAGTATTTGTAAAATTAAGTTCCAGTAATGCTGTATTGTTTTCCAATCCTTCGAACAATTTCTGTGTGCCAAGGTCGAAAATACGAAACGAGCTGGAAATTGAAAAGTTTTCCAATGTTTTATTCTTTGATAGCATATTGAACAATGGTAGCTCACATCCATTGGACGACTGAGGATAGTAGCTTTTTAATGACAAATATTTTAAGCTGGAATTGTATTGTAATGATTGTAACAATTGTTTTACACCTTCAGTTTCTAGCTTTGTGGGATAGAGGCCAAGATGGGTTAATGTTGTATTTGTTTCAAGTGCTTTCGCAATTCCTATATATGCATACTTGGAAAGGTCTTGGCGATGTAACTGAAGACTTAATAAATCTTTATTTTCTTTCAACGCCTTACCAATTTTGTTCGTTCCCTGATCGTAGATTTTACAATCCTCTAATATAATGTTTCTTAATCGGCTGGTAAATAGAACATGAAGTTTATTAGAAAGACACATTTCACATAGGTGGAGTGTTCGAATAGATGAGCCATTGTTAATTGTATCAATTAGTTCATTGAAATCACTATCATTAATAGTACACTTGCACAATACTAGTTTTGTAATATTCATTTCTTTCAATAAACAATTACAAAACCTTTTTACATTTTTACTGGATATGTCAGTATCACTTACTACTCTAGTGTCATTTTCCTGTTTGAGCCAATGATGGACACTTGCCCAATCCTTTCCATACGTTTTATAACTCGAAAACTGTTCTACATAGTGATATTGACAAAGCCATTTAACATCATCAACACAATATAAATACTCAGTACAATTTTCTGATTGTCGCAGATCAATACTGTTTAAACAAGACAGAAGACACGAGTCTTTCTCTAATAATAAAAGCCTTTCTGTAAGACCCTTGCACCTATTAATGTAATTTGGTTTTCCTTTATAACTATGTATTAGATTAATTCCTTTTTGAAAAGATTTTTGTGCTAAGTCAAAATAACAGTTTTCGACACACAGTTTTCCTAATGTATAATACTGGTTTATAATAGTGTTGTAATAGTGTTTAGCATCTATTCCAAGAATATAATCAATGAAATTAATACTATTTTCTATCCTTGTGTAATTTGTTGGTAAAATGCAGTTTATATCACAATCGTAATTGGTCTGTACGTGAGGTGATGCGTGATCAAGTTGAATCAAATATTTGCATAAATTCCAGGATAAATCGAAATCATTTCGAATTTTATGCATGCATGCAATTGTATATGGATGGATCAGAATAGCTTCTTTCTCAAGTAGAAAATATTGGTAATCAATTTTCATCGCTTTATGGTAATAATTGAGCGAGTCGAAAAACCTTGTTTTCTGCAGATAACATGCAGCTAAACAGTCATAAATAATAATTAACATATATTTAAGATTTTTAGGGAAGGATAAACGTTGCTCATAAATACCTAACGCTTTCAGTAAACGTTCGACGGCTGAATCGTACTGTTGTAGTGTATGTTTAATTAAACCTAAACCAGTATGATAAACTGGTTCTCCTATAAGATTTGGTAAGTAATCACGTATTAATGAGTAATAATCAATGATTTCTTTAACGTTTGTGGTTTTATGGTACAAATAACCAATTCTAATAAGTTCTGCATCAACAAAGTTAATTTCTTTTAGCCTATCTCCTGTTGAGTTATAACATAAATCTAGTGCATCACGATGGTTACTCAAAAGTACTTTCATGTACCAATATCCTTCGTCTTTATTATATGTCATCTTGTAGTTATGAAATACTGCACATGCACTTATCAGTATCTCCTTTTCGTCTTCGCTGTAACTTAAATCACTTATATCAGCATATGGTCTTTTAGCTGGTTGTCGCTTGACTAAAATTTCGTAAATAATTCGTTGTTCATCATCATCCACAGAGCAAGAAGATTCTTCGCAGCAATCAATCCCAGCAAACATGCGAGCAACTCTTAAATCGCGCGTGGTTGATAAAAAACTATTCGTCAATGTATGCCCGATTTTCAGTCTCTCTTCCAAGGACTGAATTTCTTCTTTCGCTATTATCTGACCGCGATACAAAAGGATAGGCGACTCTGATTGAAAAAACGTTTCTGTATTAAATGTTCTTTTGAGTTGGTTATGCACATCCTTGATAAAGAATCGTAATAATAGAGCAAGTTCGACATTTTCATGTCGAAGAGTTCTATTTACTAGTAAGGAAAGAAAACCTGGTTGTGTATACCAGAATATTGCCTTTTCAGCGTCATAGTTTTCTTCGAATTTATTTAAAGTTTTCTGTATTATTCGTCTACCTTTATAATTGATACGACATTTATTAATGAAACGTTATTTATCAGTTTCATTACACTCAATTTGAATTAAAACATTGATAAATAACGGAAACCATAAATACTCGTTCGAACAGGAGCCAATAGTCTTTGTCGTTTTTCCTTCATTCAAAAAATGGAATATTGTGGAAGCCTGGCTGCTCTTGACAAACGGTTTTACGCATTTTGACACATCATGGAGTAAATCCTTTAATGCAATATAAGTACCAACGATCTAAATTTATACAAAACATTTCTTCGAGCATGTTAGTTGTAGTGCTATACGCTATATCACAAGACTAGCTTAATTAAATTATTGTAACGAGATTGCAGTAAGAGTGCACAATTATTCTTTTATATTTCTATTCTCTGAATGGTTCATGTAGTATAAGATCAAATTAATAAGAAGGATACCGATGTACACAGTCGAATTTAAACTTCTGTCTTTCTTTGGCTCATCAAAACGCGTTTCTTACCTCTTATTCCGTCTTCCTAGAGAAAATTGTACGTAATTCTGTTCAATTTAAATGTAATGTACAATGAGTGAATAGTAATATTTTAGGTTTCTATAATGACGTTACAGATAGTTCCTCCGATTAAGGCTTAACTTAGTTTTAAAAAGGCTTTCCTCGATTGATGAGAATTTTATCTAAAGATTGGGATATTGAACTACGCCGTTAACTACGCTTCAGAGTGAGTCTGAAGATTTTTGTATATTTGGTAAAATTAATTATATTCAAACCATATCATATCGAACCGACCAAGTAAATACTACATAAAAAGCATCGTATGAAATTGATCAGCATGTTGCCCATGAGAGAAAACCTTAAGAAGCATCCCTTAATGCATGTCAAGACCTTTTACCTTTGTATACTGTCTTGTCCACTCTTGTCCGATATTGTTTTCATCATAGACGCATATAAAAGATATATGACTTAAATTATGAACTTCCGGAAGAACATAAGGTGCAAAATCCATACTAACAATAAGAAATATCGTTTCACCTTCTGATTTCTTTATGTATTCTGTACATTGTTCCAACGATGAAAACATTTTAACAAAATCAATAATGGTACGCAATTTTATTCGGATAACAATATCACGTCTTATTTGATCGATGTTTTGATCAAGCCATACTAGTATAAATTGGTCTACGTTTTCCATTTAATTAACAGTGTAAAAAGTGCCTCGTGTAAACCTATTTATTAACATGCAGCTGACTTTGACCTATAGTTTTATCACGATGTATCTTTGATCTACAAAAAATTATTCTGCTTCCATGAGTTCTTTTTATGATATAAGCTATTTAATTCAAAAACACAAGAGATGAACAAGTTTGCACTGTTTCAATATCTACCAAAAGAGAGGGAAGTCTGATTATTATCGACGATAGAAAAAAGAAGAGTTATGAATAATATAATACCAGCCCGAAAGCCTAGTAAAAGAGAAAAAGAAAACAATGTAATAGGCAAAAAACATTTGAATAACTATGTCCAGCACATATATGTTCTACTACATAATGAAACAGAAAGAAAAAAAACTGACGCATGCTATCGTTCTTGTGAAAACCTTTTAAGAATGCAAATGTAGTCTATTAACTGTATGATACACAAGGTGCACGGAATTCAAGAATCAAGCAAGGTTTTATTTCTGAAAGATATACACATCTTTTATAGCTAACCTAGTACAAAAATGCTTGAAGTTTAGTGCTAGGTTAATCAATTAAAAGTAAGGTGCAATTTTTCCATTTTATTAGGGAAGATCTACTCTATCGTTATCTGATATACGCAATTTCGTGTACAAGATACCACGACCTGTGCTGGCAAAACGGAAAAATATCTTCTTGAACTGTTTCTCATATTAACTTAAATGAGTCATGGTGTATGTAGTTAAAAAAATATTTACTATTGATAAAATGACTTCATTAACGGTATTGTTAGTTGACTGCAATTATGTTTTGGCTGTGCCAGAATGATAATCGGATTAAAATAATTTATTTTATCTTTCCATCGAAATAATAAAAATTAAAAAGTTAACAACGAAGAAAAAAAGACTTAAAAAAGATTAAAAGATGACAAGATGGCTGGTTTTTTCTGTGTACAAAAACGTTTTCAATACTTCATCAGTTGGCCAGAGAAAGAAAATGAGCGGGAATGCGATTCACATCGGTTAATAAAGTGAATAGATAAGAGAAGAATGCTTTAGGAAGATGCATAACTGTTTGTGCATGCAATATATGAGTGATAATAAAAAGAATATGGGATATTTTGATGATTCGGTAGTGGAATGCGAGCAACAGAAAGAAATGAAACTATCATAGGATGGGAAAGAAAGAGAGAAATGAATCGTCTCTCATATATGTATGTTTCTCACTTGTACGTGGAAACATTGCTGAGATATAGGAAAGGAAATTGAATGATAGTTTTTTATTATGGATGGCAAGGACTGAATGATGATTTTGAATAAGCAAAACAATTAAAAAAAGTTAAAAAGATTGAATAAAAGGAATTGTATCAGAAACTTTCAAGCATTCGAGACAGGAGGGCGGGCCGGAGGCGGTGTGAGAGTGAGTCCGGGACATTTTTTGCAGTGAGTATTTGTTATCGCGATTGGCGAGTAAGAAAAAGTGAGGAAAAACATCTGAGCTAAAGTTCTATAAGAGACAGAAGTAATTGTCTTCTTAGTCTATTCCCGTTGCTTGTAATTGTCTTGAGACTACTTCATACGGCTTTGAAGCGGTATTCAGTTTCTGTATATGTGTGCGAGGAGACGTTGCTACCCAGGGCCGCTGATTGTAGTCATCCATTGGGATGATATAGGATGCTTGACCGGCGACAATGGCATCTGCTGTTGCCCGTCTTTTACCAACTCCAGTCATGACTGCCATTGTCCGATATTTTCCTAAACAGACATTAAATATATATCAATACATTTGAAAGGAGATATAAAATTTTTAAAACAAGAGTCTTCAAAAATCCTTGAAAAGAATTATTTTTCGAATAGCTTTGAGCAACATCTTATTTGAAAGGGGAAGAAAATCTGCATCGAATATTGTATTTGGTGATGAAAAATACTTTTTACTGGATTTTAAAAATTAAAATTTCAAAATATTTGCACTTTTTAAAAAAGCGAAATTTTGGAGTACTTTAAAATTTTCAAAGCAATTTTTAAGGCGGCAAGAGATTTCTATGCGGTGTTTTATAGAACGCACGATTCTGCACATGATGAGCTAATTTTCGATGTTTCCAATGGACCAGAACATGGTGAAATTTGAGAGACAAACATAGTATACAGAAAGCAGAACCTTGCCGATCTTACAAGAAGTTCATTCCTTTGGCATTCAAGACCAGGCTTTATATGAAAAAAGTTATAAGATATTAATCAGCGACAAAAACTGCATCGAATAGTATGTATACTCTGGTCTATAGTATCGGTTTTACACTCTGGGTTTGGTATAATGACTAATGTATCATATTCGTTTTTGAATTGTATTGTGTTGTAATTATGCATCGTTTTTGAATTTTTTCTTGTTTTTGATGTTCCATTTACATATATAGTATTCTAGGAGAACAAGCCATTTCTACGAAAAGTTGATGGGTGGAGAGTTGGTAGGAATCATTACAGCTACATAGAAAATCAGACTGAAAAACTTCAGTTCGCTATTGTAGATTTGTATATTTACCTGCTTCGTTTTATTTAATCATTAAACTACCCTTATTATCAGCTGTTCGATCGGCATTAACTCCAGCAGATAACGTCCACATGTCCTGGACTCTTAACTGAATGAAGCTTTATAATAAGTGTATATTGCTACCAGGAGTGAGGTCATTCTGGAACTATTTGCTGTCTTGAAACAAGTTACACTTTCTTGTCAACACTGTCCTCCTAAGACTAGTAGGAAGCTGCAAAGATCGTGAAAAACTCAAACGTTTTCTAGACGCCTGTGTGGAAATAACTATTTCAATTATTTTACTCTTCAATTATTTTATTCAATACCTGACTCCAGCCAAAAATAAGCGTAACTTTTAAGTTTTCAATTAGTTGCTCAATCTTTTTCAGTTTGTAGATGACACGTTCAAGTATTTATCCTGAAGTTTTTTCGACTTATACTAAAACTAAATACTCTAAATTCCAGGAAATAAGAATGGAAAATAATAGTACGAAGAGATGTTCATACAAAAAATAAAACAGAACAGACTGCCCAGATGCAATCACATTATATATAATTATGAGAAAGAAAATCAAAAGAATAACTTGTGATAATTTTGGCGCGTCGAACGGTTCCTGCTGAGAGAAAACAGATCGTCTTAAAGATAAGTATGAAAACTTGAAAAATAGTCCATCTTGTAGAGCTTGAATTTATCAATCAAATGAGATTTTGCAAAGGTTTCTGGCTAAGTACTAATTTCTTAAATGGGACTTCAAGCGACCAGAACGAGAAAATTTAAAATTTGATTAGAACTTTTTGAAGATTATTCAACAGGAAACAACAGGTTTTATTTGTCTTTCTTAATAAATAATCTCCAGTGAATTCTCGTTAGTCGTACACTAGAACTAGATTTTCACCATGAAAAATAAATTCATCTTCTTGAAGCTCTTTTTTTACATTAGAAGTCTTTGCCTATTTGAAGAAATTGGCAACAACATGTTAACAAAATGTTATTGTCAAAAAATAAATGTAATAACAAATAAGCGTTTTCGAAAAAGGAACGGGCGTAGGATACAATTTTACTCAAACAAAATGAAGATGTTATTACAATATAGAAACCGAGTATATTTACCATAACCGAAAAACATTTTCGTAAAATCGTTTCACACAAAAAGCGTTTTCGGCACGTTCGTAGAACCACCAGCAGACGAGATCGAACCACAAGGTAGAGGCAATGAGAAAGTCGAAAAAATGATAATCTTATTAAAAACTCACAAGGGTAACACCATTTTCATCATGACCAAAAGTGATTACCATCATAATGAATATAGCAAAGAGTATTCTAAGAGATCAATGTCTATTTTCACAACTTATGCTTTATGTCGAGAGGCAGAACACACAGTAGACATTTTTTGCTAGAGCAGGCGGACTTTAGCTTTATGAGTGAACTAAAATTTCATGAACCATTTTTTTATAGGTTTTTCATGATCCTCTTTCTAATAGCATGAGAGTTGGGTTTTCTAAAAAGTTTTCTAAGGAGTTTTCCAGAGATCCGGTCTCTGGAAAATCCTTTAGAAAACTTTCTCGATATTTAAAAACGATGCCACTGGAAAGAGCATTGTCGAAAACCTATAAGAAACATGTTTCGAGTCGTTCAGGTTACTTTATCTTGAAATTCAAATTTTCAGCACGAAATTGTTTCTGCGAATCTCAAAAACTAAGAAATTTCTAGAATTCAAAATCGAGCGATCGAAACTAGATGAGTTATACACCATTCGATGCAGTTTTTCACGCTGATTCCGAATATGACCTTACTTTCAAGAAACGTGCTTTTTTGAGGGAGAAAACTGCGAAATACTCTAAAATCCCCAGGGTTTTTGGAAAGCCTGTAACTCAGCACCCCTAGAGTTGGAAGACTTTGTAAGATCAGCATATGTGGAGGAGGTTGAGGCGAACATTTTGAGCTATTTTTCATATCAATAGCTACTCAGCGGAGTTTAGCGATTGCATTTTTATGAGGACGTCTTTTTTTTAGATGAGTTCCGTGGAAAGATCTTCGCGCGTTCCCAGAAATTTAACTTTGTCCGACGAAAATTTTCTTACGGCTAGATAGCCCAATAGATGGGGATTCTATATATGTCATTGTTTTTGAAAAAAACTTATAATTTGACGGAGAAAATGCAATTTTACGCGCCAGCATACTAATTCTACTGGTAATTTTGTAATTTAATTTTCTCAACTTTGGAAGAAGCTAGAGCCAAAAACTTTTCACCGTTAAATAGGACATTATTTATAGTATACATGTCATCATTGAAAATATAAAAATTCGAACCTGCGATTTTTCACCAAAATGCCGCCTAAATGCCCACTGTGGAACATTCATTTTATCATCAAATTATTGTAACGTCTGAATAAATTTTGCCATTAGCGGTAATTTGATGCTTGATTTTTATTATTATAATGTCATTTGAGAAAACTTTCTTGATAATTATTTATAGATTGTTGCCCCGCACTTACGCCATTTTAAAAAAGAACAATGAGCGGAATAGAGTTATAACCAGTTTATCTCTTGGTAGCAACTCTGTTATGCAATCAGATATCGCCGAATGAACTATAAGTGCCGGAAAAGTGTCAAGCCAGAGGAATTCCTGCTTTGCCCTTGTTTGTCTGATAGACGTCTGACAGCTCGGCGTAGAGCGCGGTGAGGTCATTTATGCGTCCGAGCAGTAATTCGCGGTCATGACCACGATCATCGAAGCTATCGATCATCTTGACAATGTTGTAACTGTGCCAGAACGCATTCATGCGGTTGTAAAGTGGACGGTTGCCCTCGGCGTTTCCGAAAACTTCGCTTAAAATTCGGATATCGTGTGGAATGTTGAAGCTGTCGCGGCTGTTCTCGTGGCTGAAGAGATAATAAAAATTATCGTAGCCACCCCAGGTTATAGCCGAAAGGCAAAGCGAGCAGGGCTCATGCGTGGCAAGGAAGATGCAATCCTTCGGATCGGGTAGGCTTAATCGATCCTCTATTTCGTAGAGCTTTTTGATTGCGTGCATTTCGCCGTGCCATAGCGGATTTTCAATTTCATTATTGGTTTCGGCGACTACAACTGAAAGGTCGGACTTTTTGAGGATGGCAGCACCAAAGATCTTGTTGCCTTGTACGACACCGGTTCGGGTCTTGGGTAATATGTCCTGTTCGATGACAGTTAAAAGGCGATTGAGGAGTTTGACTGTATCCATCTTAAATTGATATCAAAGATTAGGTGGCACAAACGCTTGGGTTAAGCGAAAATTAAGTGAGCCTACGCAAGCCATCGAGAATCCACAAAATGTGGCGTACAATAGACACTGAAGTTACCTTTGACTGCTCTGCTGGTTCGAGCGTATTTTTATTTTCTGCACCCTAAGAGTGCTACTTACTTTCTTTCTCTTCATGTCATTCACTGAGTCAACATTATGAATTACCACATCTCGCCACACGCTTTCCTTTCTTATCGGTCATATAAATAATGCAACGCAAGAAGTTAGAAGGCATTTTGAGTTCTCTCTATCGCAGTGCCAGATCAGCGTTACTTTTTTTCGTAAATCAAAGAAATGCGATCAAAAATAAAAAGATTATTGAATAGCGGACATTTCTATGAAACTCTTACTGAAATTAAACATTTTTCTCGTCTTTCTTTGATGACAGATCGGTTTTAAATAGTATAAAATGAACACGGAGAAGAATAGATAACGATACAGTGTCACTAAAAAGTCAATGTTATTGCACAATCAAATATAACTTCACATTACCCGCATCATGCAGTTAGAACAAAAGGAGAAATAATTTGAAAATACATCTCAGTACACGATATCTAGTTGCGATTCTCGAGAGTATTAGAAGGCTGGAATGTTGAATAATAATATGTTGCATTGGCAAGCATTGATCAACGATAGTCCATATGAAAGTGGAGTGTTTGGTCTAGACATCAGAATACCGTCTGAGAATCAAGTTAGTTCAGCAGAAACTCGATTTACAACGAAAATCTATTACCCTAACACCAATTTAACCGGCTTTAAATGCATCAATATCCTACAATCTCAATGGCGCTCTACGTGGACAATAGTTAAATGGATGTTCGAGGGATAGATTTTCGTTGAAAATCGAATTTGCGATGAACTAATTGAATAATCAGACGAGCTGCACAGTATCGGCGAGACGGTCGGCAGAAATTTGATGATATTACACGATGACG